GCACTGGGAGTTCAGCAGCTCTGTTGTCTGATGGGACTGGAATATCAGAATATGTCCTGCCTTAGGCAAGACTGCTTCAGACCTCATGGCCTGGATCTTCAAGATAATCTTTAAATACAAATGTGCTGGTTTTGCTAGACCCACCACAACAAATTAATGAAAAGATAGACAAACAGGAAATGGGTTTTGCCTCCTATAATTTCTGTCAAATGCATGTGTGTGTGCAAAACAATCAAGCAGTCTTTATGTAGGCACTGTTCTTCGTTTTCATTTTTCAGGTTTTTGGTGGCCGCTGGCCCAGCAGAGTGAGGCAGCTGTTTGCCCACCTCCCCAGTGCCCTGGGATGAGCACATCAGCCTCCTGTACATAAAGGTAAGAAGACAGACGAGAAATACAAGGCAAGAAAGATCTCTAACAGAGGAGAGAAGACTGCAAATATCTTTGAGGACAATGTTTCCCTTTTCATCCCTAAATATTTGCAATCAATAGAGCTTCAGTATTTCACAGGCTAATCAATAATGCAGTGAGCCTGAAAGAGATGTGAGGGTCTTCTTGGCGGCTACAAACTGGCAATGATGCTTTGATGGCTCCTACTGAGGATTCATCATTTCTTGGATAATCTCCTGCAGAACACTGTGGGGTCTGAGAATATAATATACAATATGGCTATAGGAAAGAAACTGGACAGATGATTGCACTTTATCTTAACTCCCTATTGCATCATCTGCCAAGGAAATGAAAGGTAAAATAAAAGCATGACAGATGTCTAAAAGTATGAATACAGTGTACAAAGATTGTTGTTTAGACATTTAATATAGCTAAGTCAGTCCATAGAAGGTAAGACACAGCAAGAGTGTTATGAGGAACCACTTTCCTTTTTTGCAGTTGTCCTTGCCATGAGCAACTTCAGAAGGACTTTATTATAACCAATATTAGACTATACTAACAATTATTTCAGAAGCATACACAAGCTAATTCTCTCTCCTTTTCCACATGCATGCAATTCACTAAGTGTGAATAAGATGAAAAATTGCCCCTAAAAACATAAACACATGCGCTATTTAATTAAAAAAAAAAAGAACGGAAGAGGTCACATCTCCAAAGTTTAATACATTTTGGTCAAAATGTCCCTGGCTCAAGTGACCAGAACATTTAGTGAGATGTGCCACCCCTGGGGGAAGGGATCTTCCATTCAGACATCTCTCCTGCTATGCAGAACAGTCCCTCATACACAGCATAAACCCTCCCAGGAAAGGGAAGCACAAGCTGAGCACAGCAGCACTTCTGACAGCACCAAAGTCCTCCTCCTCCTCCAGGCTGTCGTGTAAGGCTCTAATAATAAGCCCAAAAATAGTCAGACAACACGTTAAATCTCATCATTTCACCTGCCCAAGAACAATCTAGGCCTGAAAGGTCTAAAATTATTCCTTTCCCCTTCTCCTTTCCCCTTCTCCTTTCTCACTTTTCTTTCCTTACATAAAAACCTTTCTAAATTTCCACAGCTTTGTTTTGCAATTATTGACTGTCTCCAAATCATTATTGCAAATATTTTAAATTCTACTTCATGAAGAAATGGTATATTTATAAACATCCACTGCAACCCATCCCAGTTGCTGCTGAAGAGACTCCTGATGATCCAGCATTACAGCTTGTTACAGTTTTTCAAAAGACCACAATCCAGCATTTTCAATTTTCCACACAGCCGAGCTGGAATGTAGGACCATTAGCTTCTTCTGTATTTCCACACTCTCTGCTAATACACTGTGCATTGGTTCAGCTTCCACAACTAACTACCTAAGTGTAAATACAAAATATAAAGTACAGCATATTTCTAAGTCTTATAGCCCTTCCTAATCTTGTCATTACCATATTAACTAGCTTTAGAAAATTCTGTTAACACTCGAAGCACTTTAATAGTTGCTTTCCTCATGTATTCATGTGATTGGCATTTCCAGATTCTCAGAGGTTTAACCTTTTTCCTTTCTTGCAGTTTATTAAAAAACAAACAAAAAAAAACTACCCCAACCCCCACCCTTCAAAAAACTCCCACAGGTGTACCTGACTCTGTCAGCACACCTGGAAATTTTCAATCTTTTTTTTTTAAATTAAGATAATCAACAAAATTGTAATGTTAAAATCACTCTCAATTAAATTCTCAAGGAAACTTAAGACAGATTATTTTCTGAAATTCTTTCATTTTTTAACTCAGAATTTTGTAGAGTATGTTAAAATATTAGGCCAAAACCACCAAGCTAAACCACATAAAAAAGAATGATGATATTAATGATAAAAATTGTATTTATTTTCTTTTACAAATCACAGTATCCAGTTCAATGACACACAAGCAGATTTATAACAAAAATAATCTCACAAGACTACAGAAGCCTTTAAAAGCAGCATTTCTGCCATCTTCAACAGGCTTTTGCAGCTTGGTAGGTACAGATAATTGGTATTTCATCAGCTAATGGTCATTAAAGACCACCCCCATATTTAACTTAAATTGCATAAATTAGAAAATTGTTCATTTCCTCTTCCTCCAGCTCTGTTTTCATGTATGATGACTTTAGGCATGTTTTGCTGAAAATGGGCTAAAGATTATGGTACATACAGATATGCCTGCTAAAAACAATTCAATGAATTCAAAATAACTGTGGACTGCAACTGACCTTTCATATAAACCATATATCGCTATATTTTTTGCATGCCTTAATGATTATTAGTCTGGCTGAATGAAAGCAATGAAAGAGTACAATATTTAGCATTTGTTTCACATTATTTATAATTTCAGTGTTCTGTTTACAGATGTTTACAATCCCCATCCTGGCAATGTTACTGAGATGAGTAATCCAATCTCTTGATTCTATTACTGAATGGAAGCACTCAAGTATTCTGAATGGAAGATGCAGGAGTGACTCTTTGATTCCGCTATAAACACGAGATAAACAGGCACACACACCGTGGAGATCAGCTTAGGTGGGGGATGCCTCCTTGCTGGAGACAGCGAGTCTGCTGCCTGTGCAGGGCTCTGGGCAGAGAGCACAGCAGGGCTGGGTGCTGACATGCTCCCAGAGCTCTGCAGCCCCTCTGATGGAGACCTGGCAGAGTCAGCTCTGCGCTGTCCCCTCCTCCCCAGCACTGAAAGTTCACTGTCTCCAGCACCACTGTGTGCACCAACATGCTTTCCAATATCGTGCTTCAAATGTTACTTCTAGTCACTACAAGGATCATGGTCTTGGATGTGTTAAATACATCCATTTACCTCTAGGATCTATAACATCATTTCCATCCTAAGTCCAGCTTTTAACTAAAATTACCATGGAAATGTAAGTTTTGATCATTTTGATATTAGATAAGTGGACAGTCACAACTGTGAAAAATAATTCTGTGTCTAGCATTTAGCTTAGTTTTGAAAATTAAATTCTGTAAATACATATTAAGATATTACTCATAAGGATTTTTAAATAACAAATCTTAGCAACACATGGCATAAGCGTATGTATAAAATGTGATAGAAGTTAGATGCATGTCTAGTTTGGAGCAGATACAACTATGGCTACATCTTCCTCACTGATGATTTGTGGTTTCGGTTCAAAGATTTGCACATGAGTTTCCTGCACATGGATTTCCTGACATTTTCAGGATCTGGCCTTACAAACACTCAAGTAACTTTCTTCAGAGTTACAGTCCAGCTCTGCTCCAAAGCTTCTCATCTGAGCCAAGCTGCTTTACACGTTTGCCGAATGAAGCCCCCGGTACTGACACGGCTACACGTGGCTAAATGAGATCTGGCTGCCAATTTCACAATGTGGTATTCTGTATCAGACAAAGCAACAAAGGAAAGGTGACTTGTTCCCCTGTGTGAGCTGTAAATACCAACCATCACACCACTTAATAGGTTTATTTTATTAATAGCATATATTTAAAGACTTCAATGCAAGTTTCTTTTGAACGATGAAAGGCTGGCAAATTCTTAAAAGATAATAATCAGCAGTGCAGCAGTTCTTTGATGGTCTGTAATTACCCAACTGTCCACTATTTGAATGACAGCAGCAAACTACCACTCACTGTTAGTTTATTTTTATTTATAACTTGTACTTTAGGTAAGAATCCATTAATTACAAGCAAAACAAATTGCTTACTCAAAACACTTCCCACAGAGGCTATTTTTTTCACATGCACTAATCTAGCTGAGATATACATGACATTTTAAATGGAGGTTAAACTGATGTAAATAAATGCAATTATTTAAAAGCAAACAGGAATCAGTCACATTTATTTCTGTGCAGGATTACTGTACTTTCTCCCCTAGTGACCAAGCACTGAACCACAGGAATTCTGGAAGGCTGAGGATTTTAAAACTTCCTGCCAACATGAATTTTGAGGCTATACCACCGTACCCTTTATTTTAATTTTATGTGATTTGCCTTAGGTGGCATCTTGTGTAATTGTTTTTCAAATAGAACCACTAAGCTGGAGGCACAGCAAAGGGTTTGGATTTCACACACTTTTGTGCTTTGCTCATGAAAAAGGTGCAGATGAGCCGTGCACGTGGAGCTGCTGGTCCCTGCTGGGAACACGTCCTGGCAGCCACCACCACAGGACTGCCCTGGCTGAGCTGCACCCCGGCCAGCCTGCAGTGCCACCAGCACCCACCCACCAGGCCACGATGGCCATCCTGAGAGCTTGGCCTTCAGCCAGCTCCAGAGCACACCCCAGGCATCCCCATGGGGGCCACAGCACCAGGGCTCCTTCCCACTCCTCCACCAGGCACCATCCATCCCACCTGGCCACCAGTGAGTAATGCAAAACAAGTTCCCCTGGTCTAAGGCCAGGGTCACTTCAAAGGCAATGAGCAACCCAAGAGACATGACAGAACTGACAGCTGTAATCTCGCCACCTTTTATAAGGGATTTAAATTTCAGAAGTGAGTTTGTACAGTTTTGGTGTGCTTTTCTCACACTCTGAGCTGTGTTAGCTTCACTGTTGTGCAGCAGCCCTCAATGAAGCTCTTTGAGACAAAGAAGAGTGAGAAATCACTGTACACCCACAGCAACTCTGAGGAGCCACCCAATTTCTGTGCTGCAGGCACTGGGAAGCCCAATCCTGGTTCTGACAAAGACAACACAAAGGGGATTTTGCCACCAGTATCAATGGCAGTGAGATCCAGCTGCCCACAGCAGCAAGATTCCATAAATCAGTTATGTGGTATGATAAAGACTCAGCAACACAATGATCTTATTGTAGTCAGGAGGCACAAAAGAAATCCCACCCAATTTAATGCACCAAAGCATTTCAGCCAATTTTTGCCTTTTGCCATGGCAGAGGTTTTCCGAAAATTATTTTAAATAATATATAAATATGAGTTCCAAAATGTCGGTTTTGCATCCTGCCAATTTCAGCTAACGTGCCATGTAAGGCACAATGGATAACCTCATAAAATCTAATCAATAAAATCAAAGCATGCAGCTGAACAATTAGCCTTCCACGAGCGCTTTGACGATGGTTGTTTCAAACTACACCAGTTAGGGGTAATTGCAAGAGGGTCAATCTTTCTACAATCAGACCAATGTAGGGACATGGAAGGCTGTTCTTGCTGCTTCTGTGTCACTGGAGAAGCATGAACTCGACCCTGACGTGTTCTTGCTCCATTGCAGAGGTTTTCCAGAAGCTCTCTCTCACCAGACTGGATCTCACACGCATTTTCGGCAGTGTTACTGGGTAAGGAGCAGTCACAGGCATAGTCTGACCCATATAATCCATTAACCCAACCAGAGATCAATTCCTGGGAGAAGTCTATCCCATTTTTTAAGAATGGCTTTGTCGCCAGCATTGTAAATCTAGCAATAAACTGTTGCGAAACTCAATCCTCTCTCACACTTAAAGGGCTTTGCAGAAAATGGATCTTGAGGAATAGGGAGATGCAGGAATATTTTTCTGCAAGTATTTCAAAGAGGAGTTTTTCTACCTGGGACTAAAAACATTTTTGTATTTTTGACTATTTCAGTAACTAGTACATTTTTAGAATGTTATTTTTATCATTATTTCAATAAACCATAGCTTTGTATTGTCAATTCCAAAAAACACAGGCAGGAGTATCTTTGTCAGAGTTCCATATTATCATCAGACATACATATTTATAACTCTCCATTTCCTAGAATGCTCCACATAAATAGATGCTCAGTGCTTGTCATGTAACATGTCTTGCAGAGAGTAAGAACAAAAGAAAAACAACAAAGACACAATACCAAAAATAATTTTTAAAAATCTGAGCTGAAAACATAAAAGAGAAATGCTCAGGCATTCACTGGTAACAACCACACATTTGAAGCCAGTGTGACTGAGCTATGTTTTCCTTTCCTCATACTTATGGATGTGATTGATGTCATGTGAATGGGAAGAAGTTTATTTAAATCTAATAAAATTCTTTTTGTAAGTGTATTTTATACTGACAGACTAGCTCAAAACCCAGTCACCTTTACCTGCACTATAAAGTTCCAGCCTACAGGAACTCCAGTGACAAGCTAACCTTAATTTCTTCGCTTCAGCCACATGAACCTGGCCAGGGTCATGAACAGCTACATGCAGCCTGTCATATGGCACAAGGGTCAGTATCTACTAATTCCAGTGGCTACTGTTACAATATTCAACCATCAAAAGTTTCAGATCAGAAGTTGAAAGTTTGAGACATTTATGAGTGAGAACAGAGGGACCTAATTTAAAGCGTGTGTGACCTTAATATAGCATTTGGGGGTTCAGAATGTTCTTATGTACTTTGTCTAATACTGCAGTTTTACAATACTCCCTTGCTTCCAGTCGTAAAACCTTATCTGTAAATTCTGTAAAGATGTCTGAGAAAAGCAAATTTACGTTGACTATGTGAACCAGTAACAGGCAAATAGTTTTTTTTATGCAAAGACAGAATAAAAAGAACATGCATCTAACCCTTAATTCCAGACGTAAGTCGGCATTTTTCACAGATGTGTACATTTTTCAGAAAGTGCTATAAATCAGAATGATTCTGTACTTGTCAATGATAACTCCGTTAATGTAAAATAATCTTATAGCAGGACACCAGAATAATCTATCTTAATCAAAGACAGATTTATATCCATACAGTCCAGTTATTCACAGACTGTAACAAACCATATAAAAATGTAGATCTGACATCAGTGTAAGTCTTGCATACACAATTGACTTCTTCGTGTATTGCATAAAATGAAAAACTAACACCTACTCCTGCTCCCACTGAAATCAGGGACACATTCCCATTTACATCACTGCCATTTGGATGAGAGATCAACACTAATGTCCAGCTTTTGAAAATTTCTTAAGACTGGGTATCACATGTATTTGAATGACTCTGATTGTTCCACAACTTACTGGAAATATATATTTTTTTTCTTTGCAATTAGCCCAAAGAATTAAAACAAAATTCAGAAAAGGATGGACATGCACAATATTTTCCATAATTCTATCCATACCTTTTTCCATAATTACAGCTTAGATTACATGAAACCAACTCAGAAGCCTGGCTCATCTAAGCAATTTCTTGAGGAAATTACTTAATAAATGGCAGTATGAAATAGAAATAGGAGATCTGTAGGCTGAGACATATTTAATTTTCTCTGGTGGGAATTAGTATGTTGTGGATGAACAATATTTGGAGCAAAATCTTTCTTTATTTAATCATGTGTACTCTTTCTGAAGCCAAAAGCCAGTGCATCTACAACAATTTAACTGCAAAAATCATGTAATCAAACATGACCAAAGCCACAGTCCTTATCCAACCACAATATCCATTATTGACACGATGACTTTGCCATGGCTGGTTCTCAGCCATGTTTCAACAGTTTTTTTAATAAAAGCCTTAATAGATGAACTGACAATGGAATCATTAAAGAAACACATAAACATATTTTTAACAGTATGCAAAAGTTTAATGTAGACATATTAATTACCTGGTTTGTGTATCAATGTCAGTGAAATTTCACAACAAAAGGTAGGTAAAGTCAAGAGCAATCTGAACTTTTTAAATGGATTCTTGTTCAGATAAAAACAGTTACATTTTATTCAAAGTATAAAAAAAACACAATAAAGTTTTAGTGAGACAGAGCAGTGCAATAACTCAAGAAAATTAATGCCATGAGCAGTTTTTCTTCTCTTTTTGATGGCAATGGTCAACAAAATAAATGAAGAACAACAAAAGAGAATCAATGCAAAGGCCTAGAGAGTAACTCCAATATTTTTAACTATTAATTTTGTTCTCGGTGTCAAAGGCAATGACAGTAAGCATTGAATAAATACAAAACTTCTTTGGGATTGCTATTTTTTTCAAGATGAAAAATGCACTGGCTTGGAATGTTTATTTGAACCAGCTGTAGGGTATTACTATAGAGAGTCAGGAAGTTAATATATTCTTTGGAAGTCCAGTATCATAACATGTTATTCTAGCAGGCACAGGGAATGAACAGAGGACGTGCAATGGGACTTGGCAGCCCACGCACAGACACTGCAGATGCTCCTGTGCTCCAGCTACACAGCAGCTATAAGTTACCAGCACCATGTCTTGCTGCTAATTAGTAGAGTGACTGGTGAAAGAGGCAGAATCAGAATTAATACCTACATTTCCTAGCAGACATCATGGGACCGATCCTCTCTGAACTTTACAGAACAAAATCTTCTGGCTGAGACCTATCATGCAACAGGATCAGGCTCATAACACATTACACTTTTTTTTCATTTATTATAGTGCTTTATTCTGGGCATTTGTGTCCTGTGGTTTATATAACCATGTCCTCATTGTTATAGTCCTAGCAATACAGCAACATATTGTGATAAGAAGGGCTGGAAAATCAAAGGTATTGCTATTCTGCCAAAAGTTTCCATGGCAAGCTGAGTGTTGTAGAGATGGAAGGGTATATATTCAGATATTCCAGTTAAGAACAGTCATGAAACCTGTTTATATTCTGAATCTCTCTCATAAAACCATTAAATGTGAAATCCTTCATAACACTACAATCAATCTCTCTGCAACCATTTAATGGCTATGTTGAGGCAAATCAAATTATTCTCATAATCAGGGATAAAATCCAACATACTTTGCAATCTATCAAGTAGAAGATCTCTTACAATTAGTATCTAAAGATTGTAGTGGGTTGACCCTGGCTGGATGCCAGTTCCCCACCCACTCTATCACTCTCCTCCTCAGCTGGACAGGGGAGGGGAATATAGCAAAAGATTCATGGATTGAGATAAGGACATGGAGAGACCAGTCACCAGTTACCACCATGGGCAAAACAGACTTGACTTGGGGAAATTAGTTTAATTTATTACCAAGCAAGTCAGAGCAGGGTAATGAGAAAATAAAAGCTAAATCTTAAAATACCTTCTCCCCACCCTTCCATTCTTCCCAGGCTTAGCTTCACTCCCCATTTTCTCTACCTCCTTCCCCCAGCACAGGGGCATAGAGAATGGAGGCTGTGGTCAATCCATCATGTTTTCTTTGCTGGTCCTTTCTCCTCAGGAGAAGAACTCACACTCCTCCCCTGCTCCAGCGCGGGGTTTCTCCTATGGGAGACAGTCCTTACTAATTTCTCCAGCTAAGCCTTTCTCGTGGGCTGCAGTTCTTCCCAAGCATCTAGAGCATGGTCTCTTCCCCAAGGCACCGTCCTTCAGGAATCAGCTGCCTCACTGTGGATCCCTGTGGGCTCACAGGTCCTGCCAGCTAAACCTGCTCCAGTGGGGAGTTCTCTCTCACAGGGCCACAGGTCCTGGAAGGAGCCTGATCCAGACTGGGCATCTGAGAAGGTCACAGCCTCCTCTGGACACTCCCCTGCTCCGGCGTGGGGACCTCTGCGGGCTGCAAGGGGATCTCTGCTCCACCTTGGACCAGGGAAGCCTTCACCACAGGCTCCAAGGGAATCTCTGCTCCCACACCTGGAGCTCCTTCTCCACTTCTTTCTCCACTGATCTTGGTGTCTGCAGAGTTGTTTCTCTCACTCCTCTCTCCATGTGAAGCCTCACAGGATTTCTTTCCCCTTCTTCAGTTTGTTATCCCAGAGGCTCGACCACCATCACCCATGGGCTTGGTCCTGGCCAAGACCAGGAGCTGGCTGGCATTGGTTCTGTTGGACATGGAGAAAGCTTCTGGCATCTTCTCAAAGAAACCCTCCATAGCCCTCTCACTACAAAAACCTGTCCAAGCAAACCCAACACAAAGATTAACTGCTGTGTTTCAGATTATTAATTGTATTATATGAAGTGTAAAGGAAGTAATTTAAAGTTAGAGCTGAATTTCAAAGCTAGATGTATACTTTTATGGAAAGATGATGTAGGAATGCAAACTATGACACCACAACAACTAGAAATAATAGGGTAAAAGTCACCATAACAGATGTTTTGACTTTGTCTGCATTCCCTTACTCTAGCTAATGTTGTCACAATATTCTAGTTGCCTAAATATGGATTATTGCTATCAGTCGTATCCCATCATCCTTAGGCAACTTTCCCAAAAAGGGGAAAGGGAATTTTCTTTGAGTGACAGATGCAGAATAGTGACAGATGCAGAATGCACTATTTTTTATCCTCTGTCTGCTATGTAAGATACAATGTGGAACAGTTCTGGAATACCTCTTCATTGTAAACAAGGACAAAAGCCTCTTCCACAAAGTACCTCTGTTACCTAACATTTTTACCTCAAGAGAGCAATAGAGACATTA